TTAAATTATCTTAATAAACCTAACGGGTTTTTTCGCATACATGAGCGAGTGCAAAAGCATATTAGGAATTAAGATGTATTAAATATTTAATTGCGAACCGAAAACATAAGAGTTGCTTGAACAGTATTCCAAAATACGAAGTTCCTTTCTCTACTATACATTCACATTATTTTGGTCTATTTGAAAAATCAACTTAGGATTATGTATATATTTCAATTACTGTCGGTGGATTTACTTAATTCACCGAACTATACGAATGTCAATTGACCAAATCCATAGAAGCTAGTAAAAGGTTAAACAATTGTTTAAGCAAGTACAGTAGACCAAAACAGCTAATATGCGACCGTAGAATTAAGCTTATGTCACACGAATTCAAATTTATTTTCACTGAAGAAAAAATCAAACATGTACTAACAGTGGTCATGACGCCAAGAGCTAATGGTCAGGCTAAGCGCGTAAGCCTTTGTAAAACTTGCTGATGATCCGAAAAAATTGGTCATGATTTTAATTTGCGTAGTGTTTGCTATCAATAATATATTTGTCGTTTCACTGTATAAGCACCTAGTCGTTCATTATTTGCCATAAATAAATATGGTGAGCCTGATCTTTGTATCTGACTTGCGTTTAAGAGTTTGCGTGAGCCAGAGCGAGATCGAGTATAAAACACAATTAAAGGTATAATGAACAACGTTATAATTTGCGAAGAAAGAAATCTTATGTACACAGTGTTGGTGATTAGCTGATGATCAAGAATGTTGATGAAAGTTTGAGACCAAGAAAATTGATCCCAAAACGTAAAAGGCCGTATGAGGTAAAGAAACTGTTACATCATGATTGTTAAGCGGTCAGAACATTAAAGGTGTTCGGGTTACTCAAATGCCTCACAGAAGTATACTCTAACCGGATCACGTAGCGCTTGAAATATCCTCCGATCAAGAATAACTAAACGTAACTAAAAAAAATCTTATTTTGTTTGAGTGCGATTATTCAATTTAAATTTGAGATTTTCAGAAAAATATTAGTTTTAAGCATTGTTTTAACATGAAGTTGCTTGTGTCCAATCAATAAAAACTTTTAAAATTATTGGAAAAAAAAAATATGCCAATTTTCGGCTGAAATGGTCTATTGTCAGGTATGGTGGAACTATCAGCAAAGTATGTTTCAGTGTTTTGTGAACACGTCTAGAGGCTCACTTATCGAGCGAAAAGGAAAAAGAGGACTGTGAATGTGTGAAACTGTGTGACACTAGTCCAAGGCTCTGTACAGTACGGATAGGTTTTTAAAGAATAAACATCCATAACCTCTCGACCAATTCTGAATTTACATGTATTTCGTATTATCCATTAACCTTTCTCGTTGGATAACCTTATCCTCACGATAACATTCATGTCTTTGAATTGTTGTTGTTGGAATTTTTNTCCAAAGCCTTACCATTATAAGAACGGCGTGGAAACTTACGTCGAATAGTTTTTTTGTCACGTGTAAACATCTTGTCCCTTCAACTACTCCTTTATTTTATCTAATGAAACATTTATATTTAATCTTATTAAGTTTCTAGCACCCGTAAAACCAGCCTCAATAGAATGCATCACTATATATGTAACATGATTCATAAAAGTTATCTTTATTTTTTGCGGTATAGGTTAAATGAAAAAGACTAACATAATAAGCCTTTTTTTTTTAAATTAAGCTTATGTGTTAAAGAGCGGAGTTAAATTCATCAAAATTGAAATCTTAAAAAAAAAATTTTTTACATTCTGTCACCTTAGAGGTTCTCTAAAGTTTAAAACTAATCAAAAAATCTTCTTAGTTGATAATGATGCATGACAGTAATTGCTTTCTGAAAATTTTATTAATTTGACTAGTCTATCATATTTTAGGTGGCTTCGGTGGTTAGTATCGTACCTAGGGTAGGGTGCCATAAGGGCCCCTAAAAAATAAAAACTTTTTAAGGGTAAATTTTTCGATAAATATGGTTATTTTGATAAAACCACAGTACAAGATCATAAAATTGTCAGAATAATTCCGTGAAATAAAAACTGTGAAAATTGGGAGATGTTGCGAGGCAAGCCAGATTAATATTTCATACTTTTCTTCTGATTTTTTCTTAAGTTAAGTCGTTGACCTTATATTTTTGAGAATTTAATAGATTCTTTGTAAAAAAATACACAAGAAATATTTTTAATTTTTGAGGTTAATCAAAGATTTCCAAAGATATAGTTGATTTTGTGACCACTGTCCATAAGAGTAGCTGTTAAACTGGTGAATTTTCAGCAGTGATTTGCAAAAAAAGTTAAGTCGTTGACCCCACTGTTTTATTATCGCAAATGAATTTATCATACGTTATTAGCATAGTTCTAGAATTTCAGAGGTTTTGATCAAGCCGATAAAAATCGCCCAAGCCACCTTAAGCCTATCGCAATTACAGTATCCTAAAATGCTTCATTATTTCCATTATGTGATTAAATTTCTTTAAACAATTTTTCGCCGCGTCCTCCGTTAACTATAATTTTTAAAAAACGCTGACAATCTGTGAAGTTTCTAAATGTAATGTACCAAGTGCGGAATTTATGTGATTTCTGATTTTTTTCCAAACTATAAATTTATTATTTAAAACGAAGTGTTCGAAATGTTAACGGATTAAATCAATGTATCAAAATCATTAATATAATTACATTTAACCTAAGCTGTAAGTGTTATTTAGTAATTATTTATGAGAGTTTCAATACTTTTTCCTTTAAATATAAATTTTTGCTTATTTTTATAGCAAAATATCTAAGACTTACCTTTTACCCCCGGGTCAATAGCTATATAAAGATAACAATCTATCAGCCAGAGGTAAGCATGCAATTATGGCTTAACGGTTTACTTTATTGTATAACTAAGTTTTATTCTAATTTATGTATGTATTAGTATTATATCATACAGAAACAAATAAAAAAAAATTCAGTTTCTCACATAGATTATTACCAATATTACGAAAAAAAAAGCTTAGTATACCAAAAACTTTGTACTTATGCATAAATTAAAATAAAATTATTTTAAACCAATTCGTAATCTTACTTATAAATAAATAAACAAATTATAAATTATTCCTATTTATACAGTCCATCTTTTTGTGCCTTGAGCAATCTAAGAAAATGTACAAAAATATTTGTTAAAAATTAAATATTTCAGAATTTATAAGGTCTGGAAAGTCCGGTGGGGTATCTTGGTTAAAATAATATAAGTCTGAAATACGAAAACGACATTTACGTACACTTAAAGTGTTATTAAAAAACAAAAAGCAATCTGAGTCTGAATAAAGAAGAAGACGACAGAATTTTACCTTTTCTTTGGGAGGGGGGCGTTAAGTGATGACAGGGATCTGTGGGTAGGGTTTCAAGGGAATTATATGTGTTGGATTTTAGGGGGTTCATACAAAATTCCTTACACAAACAGCTTTATAATGTGTGTGTATTTGTGTATACGCTTGCGTGCACGTGTGTGTGTGTGTGTGTGTGTGTGTGTGTGTGTTAAAAAATATTAAAACTTTTTTGCATAGAAATAAAATGTATACATGTATGCACTCATATAAAATACGCACACCTATGTATACATATCGGGGTCCGAGAATATCATCAGGGTCTCCTTCATATTCTCTAAAAATGGTGTGGGGGCTGTAGGAGCGGTGAGGGATTTGTACAAAAATCGTGATCTAGTGATCATAAGATTTATGATATTTAGTTGGCTTATTTACTTTTGTAATTTGTACGGAAATTAAACGTAATAAATCTAATTTGATTTAGCAACGTGAAAATTCTTTCGAAATTTGACAGTTAACTGAATGAAAGAAAAAAAAAATGCATCATTGCGTAAATAAAATGCATACATCTACATCTATACACACATTTACGACACGCACACGTAAAGATACGTCTCATGGTCCGTGGAAATTGGTTAGGTTCCGTCAGGTTGTTCAAAATTGGTAAGGGTGATGGTAGTGGTTCAAGATCAAATGCGTTGGGGGATGGTGGGGGTCCGTGTGGTGGTGGTTGCGGTGGGTGGTTTAGACAAAATTCGTGATGTGTCCAAATAAGGGATAAAATTAAGGAGTTTTTCCTTATTTTTTGGAGGTCCGTAGATGGTTGGAGGGGGTGGGTCATGTCTGTCGGAGGTCTGTGGGGGGTTTTGTGGAATGCTCATTAGAGTTAACTCTATAATGGAGAATGATATGTGCTAGTATGGCTCTGATTCCCTGTTTGCTCCACGCGTGTTAGCTCCCTATGCGCAATTTTTTCATTTAAAGATTAGGATTTTTTCATTTTTAGTTTGCACTTTTTTTAATTCGGTCTGTGATATACTTAACAAAGATTATCATGGATAAATAGATCTAAAAAAAATATTCTGCCTGAAATATAAATAATATGCTCGAATAGGTGAATCTGTTTCCCAGAAAATAAAGTTCAACTACATATTATTATGTGTGATGCATGTAATACATTTTATTTGTATATTTACTTTCTTGTACTCTAATGTTAATATTTTTAACTTTATTTCCCTTAATAATATTTTATTTTTAAGTTTATTATTCAAAAGATGGAGAACAGCTATTGATAACTAAAAATTTTTTATAGATGACTTATGTAAATGAGTCGTTGGCAACAAATAAAGATTCACACTATTTAATACCAGATAATTTCAGTTATTACATATAAAATCTACATTTCAATTGTGTATTTATAATCTTCTCATCTACTGAATTATTTTAATCTAAATTTAAAGTAGGAGATAAACCTGCGTAGGTTTTTCTTTAGTGTAAAAAATGAAAGTAAATCAAGTTAAGCAAGTCAGTCAACATTTAAGCCAATCACCCTATACTTATTAATGATATGTTGTTCTTGAAAAATTAATAACATTCAATACCATTTTTGTTGAATGCATCACTATATATGTAACATGATTCATAAAAGTTGTAATGTGTTTTGACACTAACATCTTGTTTTTCTTCTCATTTTTAGGTTGTGCGATGAACAGCTTTCAAATCAATCCCATTACGATTTTGGTTTAAGAGCACTAAAATCTGTTTTGATATCTGCTGGAAATGTAAAAAGAGATAGAATTCAAAAAATTAAAGAAGGTATGCAAAATCGTGGTGAAAGGAACATTGATGGAGCATCTATAGCTGAAAATTTACCAGAACAAGAAATACTTATTCAATCCGTTTGTGAAACCATGGTTCCAAAACTTGTTGCTGAAGACATACCATTACTCTTCAGTTTACTCAATGATGTTTTTCCAAATGTTAACTACATACGAGCAGAGATGACAGGTGAATTAACTTCATTTTTGTTTTGATTAGAAAAGTCTGAGTAAGTAATTTATCTGGCGCCGGTGGTTGGGGCTTGGGGTGAGAATTTAGTCGGGCGTGCTGTTGGAATAGAAGTGGACGGTAGAAAAGGAGAATGGTCTTGGGGGATGGGTGAGATTAACAGAGGTAAAAATAATGAAGTCGTTTGAAATGGTGTTAACGAAATTTATTCATAGTGACGTATACAATGATACAAATACTAACACGTTGTAAAAACTCAAGATAGTTATTTATTATAAAAAATTCATGATGATATAATTAATTAATACATATAGGTAAAGTTGTCTCTGACAAACAATACTGTTAATCTAAGAGGTTATAGTTTCATGAAATATTAGTGATAAGTAAAACGCATGATGTCCAGTTTTTTTGTGATTTATTTTAACGCAGGGGTGTACATTTTAAAATTAATGAAAGTAAATTAATTCTAGACTTACAATTTTGATTACATGTTGAGGATATAATGCGCCTGTTTTCTAGTTGCTTCTATCTAGTGATTTTAGTGATGAGTAGACCGCACGATGTCTAGTTGTTTTTTGTGATGTATTTCAACGTATACCTTTTAAAATTGATTAAAGTAAAACATTTCTAGACTTTAATTTTTGATTTTATGTTGAAAATATAACGTGTCTATTCTCTAGTTGCTCACGTCTAGTAATTCTATTGCACAGAGTTACAATTATTTTATCATTAGTTTAAGTAGTTCTTGAAAATATTGAACAAAATATACCCAAAGTATAATAATGTGACATAAAAAACAAAAAATCGATACAGAAATAATCGCACACTAAAGAGTCAATACTCTACAATTGCTGCACGTCCCACTCGTAACTAATACAGTTTCTTCTTAGTTGATCGACATGGTATGAGACTGCGGGTGGCAATTCATAACTGTCAAAGAAAACTCCGTGTCTGCTAGTATCGACGTAGAAGGCAACTAAATGCGTACCAAATCTTGTGCTCTTGTCTGTATTAGCTACAAGGGTACACGGTCTCGCCCAAACAAATGACAACTTGTCTGCTGGAAATACCCCGTCTGTTGTCGTCAGAATATGTCTGAGCGCTTGTTGTGTTTATAGTGAGTTAATTTTCCCTTATTTTGGCGTACCCTAATACAGTAGAGCCCCCATTTTGTCTAGGTTTCTGAAGGTTAATGCTTTTTTTGAGGTCGCTGACCTCTTGTGCAGCAGCAGCAGAATACGATGACGACTGGTTTAAACGTACAGATTTCATCGTCGGCTCTTTAGTTTTTTTTTTTTTTTTTTTAAACGTACAGATTTCATCGTCGGCTCTTTAGTTTTTTTTTTTTTTTTTTAATCTATGACATTATCTGGTGTGAAGTAAGAGGTAATATCTTCTGTATAATGCACTGCCTTGTTGATCAAGGTTCGTAACTTGTAAACATGAGCTAGGGCATAGCTAAAAGCTTCCTTTTTTCGACTGTGATAACAGCAAAGGCAATCATTAATGCGAGAAAGATTTTTAAAGATGGACAAAAGTACTCAAGATTTATTATTTGATGCCCTAAAACTTTTTTGACTAATTTTTGCTTCTGATTACCTCTTACGTAAATGTGAGGAGCACTTCTTGCTATAGTATGTAGAGTGCTATACACATCCTCGATATTAGTTCCACCATCGAACCACTCGAGTCCGTAAAAATAACACGTTAAATAACTATTTGCAGCTAAAAGTCCTGACGTCAATTCCGTAGTGTTCTAGGGTAATTTTATAATCCTATGTGAACTAAAGTTACGGTTGACACCCACCACTGCGATTTCTTTTGGTAAAAATCACCATTTTTATTGTTAATTGCTTGAATGTCTGCGATAAAATTAACTTTTTCCATGGTTCATTGTGAGCAGCCGCATCCACTATCTTGAATGGTGCGTAGCATACTGGTTGTTTAACGAAAGACTGGAGACTACAGGATAATGAAAAAAAGGTTTGTAAAAGCGTTTAAGTAGTTGTAGTGAATATGAGAAGAGGAGTGTTAGGGGTAGTGGTGGTAGTAGTATTATAAGGGAGGTAATAAAAAGAGAGAAAAAGAAATTCTTTTTTAACGCTGAAATCCACAACTATCGGACGTTTTGTTTGTATGAAACACTCCCTTACGGCCGCTTTAACGTCAGATTATCACAATCCAAAATTCAATTCCATCATGCTTTCACAACTGTTGGAACTCGCTTCCTAAAAACTTTTTTCTCCGATCAGTTTCGACTGTTTTTGTAAACTGATAGTATTTACTAGCGAGAATTTTGTTAAAAGCTGCGCTAACTTGACTATAGGCTTTTTCACGTAGTAGTTGACCCCGTAAAAATTCACTCGAAACATCTATTACAACGAGATTGTACGACATACCGTTGTTATAGTTTTTAATAGATGTAAATTAAATGAGACAGGCCTCCCACAAGTCATCCAAAGCCTTACCATTATAAGAACGGCGTGGAAACTTACGTCGAATAGTTTTTTTGTCACGTGTAAACATCTTGTCCCTTCAACTACTCCTTTATTTTATCTAATGAAACATTTATATTTAATCTTATTAAGTTTCTAGCACCCGTAAAACCAGCCTCATCACTGGGTGTGAGGTATTATTTTTCCAATACGTCCATTTTTTCAAAATCTAAGCCACTGTCCTCCTCCTACTCCTCCTCCCTTTTGCAAAGGTGTAGACGTCTTAGATAGGCTTTTGATGTCACTTTTATTAGTTTTATTCTCTTTAATAATAGTAGTTTTCCCAAACGATTGATACGTTTCACAATTTGTCGGTAAAATCGTCATAGTCCTGGTCTATCTTCTCTCTCGAGTTTAATAATTTTTTACGAGTCTTCGATAAAGTGTCGACACGGTTGACGTTACGAATCTCCCACCAGTCATAATTTCCGACAAATTCTCGAGGAGTAAGGATCTCGTGCAACATATTACCAAGTTTTTTTCTGCCTACAGATTTAACTGTTTTTTTGCGTGTTGCCGCATTATTTATTAAGTCAATAACATAAAAACCTTGTGTTTTTCCACCATCAATGGTCACGATATGCTTACTATTTCAACTAGTTTTACGCGTATTTTTTAAATAATAATTAAAAAGTAATTCAGACCTTTTTTAGTATGCTTTAGGTATATTTTTCAGTATCATTGTCACTCATTCGACCATTTGCATTTGCATCCTATTTTTCCTCCTCTTTTTCCATTAATACATGTGGTTTTTTTTTTGTTTGTCTATGAAATGAAAGTACCTTTGTAAGACACTTAAATATTCTTTAGGTTTTTTACGTTCTTCGTTGAATGCATTGGAGTCAAGAATTTTTTTCATTTCATTATCTAAACTACTGAAGGTTGTTTCTAACAGTTTGTGTAGATTGTCAAACTCATTGCGATGAAAAATCGTTAGTAGCAGTGAAAACAGGTATTACTGTCTCATTAAAAACATAAACATTTGCTTTTAACTTAATTTCATTTTCTTTGATAATGTTGATAATATCCGAAGCGTGTATGTAGACAAGACCCCTTGCTAGACATAAATTATGATTATTTTGAATACTTGATACTCCCTTCTTTTCTATATTTTTTATAATATCTACGGACGCACTTATTCCTTAAGGCACTTGTACGTATGGTACCTCATCAATTATATTTTGTGAAACATCAAAAATTCTCTTACTATTTCCGATCCTTTCAAACAGTCTTAAAAAATCTTCGGCCGTAAGTGTGTAAAAAGGTCTATAGTATAAACCTACAGTACCGTCTGTCAATCCGATTCTAAAAATACTCCTACTACATAATTATGTTGGGAATAACGGTTTTTAATTATACCTACAAATTCTTCCACCACGGAACCTAAGTAACTATTTAATTTATCGAACGTTACTAGATTATTATTGAGAGGTAGCTTTTAAACGTAATCAGACACCCTGTTAATCTAAACACCTTGATATATTTTTCTACATCGCTTATTATATTAAAGAAATCTCTACCTTTAGCCCGTAATCCTCCCGAACAACTTATTATACTTGCACGTTAGCAACACCACCACCTTACCTTTCTGCGCAAAAGCACAATTACAGTCACACCCTTAATTAATTTTTTGTCTCACTTTTTTTTTTGGTGTACGTGGTTTTTTCTGCTCCTGCTGTTGTTGCTGGGGCTGTTCTTGTTGTTGTTGTTGTTGTTGTTGTTGTTGTTGTTGTTGTTGTTGTTGTTGCTGTTGTTATTGTTGCTGTTGCTGTTGTTTGTTGTTGTTGTTGTTTAGTTTTGACTCAAAAGTAAGTCACAGACACTTTTTTTATAGAGTAATGTTTCACTTTCTACTACTCAAAAGTAAAAACTGATATGCGATTACTAGTGATACTATTTGTGGGCTTATTGTAGGTTTAGGTATGCGGCGTAGCTCTCATATGGTTTCCATACGCAATGGCAACACTCTACGAACTTATGACTTTCGGTCCTAACAACTGACAGTTTCCATGCAAGCATCTTCTCAATGAAAAACGTGAGATAGTAAAAGGATAGAAAGAGAAAGACGAAAAAAGGAGAAGGATAAGAAATGAGATCTGATTAACAGTCGGTCCCACTTTTTCTACTACCCAATCCTATTTCAGTCGTGTGTCAACAGCCAAGCAACTGATACGTTGACACCACCCCAACCAGTCGTAAATAGCGCATTTTATTATTGCAAGTGTTCAGTGGTGAAGTTGTCACTAGTACAACGAAACTTTTACATCGTTTAAAAATGGCAACGGCAGCTGCTGTTTCAAGACGTAAAAGAGATGCATTTTTTCAAAGTAGTAACTCCTGCAAGTCCCACGAAGACAAAAACACTGGTCCCTTGGCTTAATCTAGCTTGAATGTACTAACTACTACATATATTTTCAAAAAAATATTAACAGAAAAAATGGTACTACACTAGTGATCTAGAAACCAACCTTTTCGAACTCGCAGCTGCAAGTGTGTGTGTAGATG